GTTTGAGACCGTCTGAGGAACACGAAGGTGCACAATCCCATGAGACCTGATGAAATGCATTGGTGGGTCCGGAAGGAACTGATAGATGAAGTTGCTAAGCCACGATCGATCATATTTGAGAAGTCGTGGCAGTCCAGGGAAGTTCCCACTGACTGGAAAAAGGGAAGCATAACTGCCATTTTTTAAAAGGGGAAAAAAGGAAGACCTGGAGAACTATAGGCCAGTCAGTCTCACCTCTGTGCCTGGCAAGATCATGGAGTGGATCATCCTGGAAACTGTGCTAAGGCACATGGAACATAAGGAGGTAATAGGTGACAGCTAACATGGCTTCACTAAGGGCAAATCGTGCCTGACAAATTTGGTGGCCTTCTACAATGGGGTTACAGTATTGGTGGATAAGGGAAGAGCAACTGATGTCATCTACCTGGACTTGTGCAAAGCATTTGACAGAGTCCCACATGACATCCTTGTCTCTAAATTGGAGAGACATGGATTTGATGGATGGACCACTTGCTGGATAAGGAATTGGCTGGATGGTTGCACTCAAAGACTTGCGGTCAGTGGCTCGAAGTCCAAGTGGAGACCAGCAACTGAACGCCCTGAAGAGTGGCGTTCTTCAGGGGTTGGTACTGGGACCAGTGCTAACATCTTTGTCGATGATATGGAGAGTGGGATTGAATGCACCCTCAGCAAGTTTGCAGACGACACCAAATGAATGGTGCAGTTGACATGCCTGAGGGACAGGATGCCATCCAGAGGGACCTTGACAGGCTTGAGAGGTGGGCTTGTGCAAACCTCATGAAGTTCAACAAGGCCAAGTGCAAGGTTCTGCACATGAGTCAGGGCAATCCCAAGCACAGATACTGGCTGGGTGGAGAATGGATTGACAGCAGCCCTGCAGAGAAGGACTTGTGAGTGTTGGTTGATGAGAAGCTGAGTAAGACCCAGCAATGTGCGTTTGCAGCCTAACACTGGAACAGGTTGCCCAGAGAGACTGTGCCCCATCCCTGGAAGTGTTCAAGGCCAGGCTGGATGGGGCTTTGAGCAACCTGGTCTAGTGGAAGGGGTCCCTGCCTATGGCAATGGGGTTAGAACTAGATGATCTTTGAGGTCTCTTCCAACCCAAACCATTCTATGATACTATGATAAACTGCAATTGTGTCTCAGGAACACTCAGCTTTAATTATGAGCTTGATCAGTTAGATTGACTAGTGCTGCATAAACCTGGGACAAAGACAGCACCATTATTCACTTCTCTCATCTGCCTTTTCTCAGCTAATCAGTTGCTAATCTTGTACAGTCAATAAAATAGTTTACTTGTTTTCATTTTATTTCTGTAAAACTCATTTCAGCAGTGGATGGGCAAGTGTACTTTTTTCATCTAGATGAGTAAGGTAAATGCATTTTAGTAGAGACCTTTGTTGCAGCATCTAATCATTTCCTTTTTGCCAACGTAGGCCTCAGTACTGCAAATACTATGCATGAAAGATCTGTATAGTCCCATTGAACTCAGGCACTGGCATCAGACATTTAAAGTTACCCACATAATTCTAATACTGTAAACTTTTATGATTGGCAATTCTAGGATCCTAAATCTAAAAAATAACACGCTGCTCTTGGGGCTTCAAAGTTTTCATTACCAAAGCTCCCTACACTTCTGTTAGTTCCTGTGTGCTTAGCCCCCCCCCCCCCCCCCTTTTTCTGACC